CTACTGCACCTACAACACCACAACCAACAACTACTACTACTGACCCTACAACACCACAACCAACAACTACTACTACTACTGCACCTACAACACCACAACCAACAACTACTACTACTACTACTACACCTACCACACAACTATCAACAACTACTTCTACTGCACCTACAACACCACAACCAACAACTACTCCATCTACAACACAACTACCAACAACTGTAGCAACAGGAACTTCACCATCAGCCAAAGGTACATTGTTTTGGTTGTTGTTTGTTTTCTTAAGACAATGACCAAGATTGGGCTCCATTAAACATTAACAATAATTATTGTGTCATATTTAATAAAGTAAATGTTTTGAACGTAGCAAGTGTTCAGTTACAGTTTGATGAGTTTCAATTTTACTTTTTACACAAAATGTGTTGTTTTTCGTACATGCAGGTTTGGAATATCAAGCCTACTTACAGATAAATGTGAGATCTTTGGGAGAGGTCAGCAACGGAACTCTCATTCAGCTTATTGCAGAGGTATGTTTATTAAATGCACAAAAACGGCATTTAGTATTTTTTTCATCTTTTCTTTAATTAATATCTACATAAAGAACATAAAATGTATTTTCTCTCCACTTAGGTTTTCAGAGACCAGATTCTAAATGGAACCGCCCACACAATCAATGTACGAAAAATACAAAGGCTGACAGGCAACTGATAGAACCATGCCTGAAACTCAGCAGTTTATCAGTGTTGGTTCTGATTTAAGTAAGATGATAGTTCATATTAGTAGTTTTATGTTTTTACATATTTTACACATTAACACATCTTCAATGCTTAGTGTCTCTGAATCTTTTGGGTAGACTCAAAAGGATACATTTTCAGGCTTACTTTCCTCCACCGGATTTAGCCAAAATAAAATACACTGAGTACCACTTTTTTTTTTTTTTTTTTTTTTTTTTTTGTAATTTCCTGAAAGCATGCTTTCACTTGCATCCAGCTCAGGGACCTAAGTAAAAACTTTGTTTTTCTTGTGCTTTGTTACTGAAAAAACAGATACCAAACTTGACTACAAGGAAACTAAAATACCACACCTTTCCCAATACATCAATGAGGTGTCAACAACCCCAGCCAGTGTTTCATACAAAGAGTATGAGAAAATATAGTTTCCTGAAGCAGGAAAGTTAGTTCGAACAATGCACAAACAAACATGTTTATGCTTCTTTGTTTATTGAGAAAACATTTTGTTCTTCTCTCAAATTCATTTTACTCGTTAACTGTTCAGATGTGTTGTGCAGAACAGCACTGAAATGCAGTGGTAGGCTACAAATTGAATAATTATATATGTTGTGTTATGAAGTGCAAAACTTGACAACTTACAAAGAGGAAAACATGATCTTGGGATTTTTTAATCACCTTTTTCTGATGCTGAAAACGTCACACACATCCATACAGTATATGTGTATGTATAT